CTGACTCTCTTGCTCTCTGAGCATGGCTGCGGAATGTAAGGTTGTTAAAACTTCTCTTGGTTCCAAGGTGGAGTCTTGTTGTATATAACACATCATGATGTTAGTAAAGAGGATGTACATATAAAGTTTAGCCTTTGGTATCAGACATGAGTAAGTATTGTCGCAATCGATGAAATCAAAGTACTAAAAAATGGCTCTTTGTTTTCTTTTTCTTACGGTTCTAGCAGACGTTGTTGCCGACTCTAGATCCCCAAGCCCTTGTCGCCAACCAGAAGCTGGTTTAATTTTGCTTTCAAATGTCTAAAAAATGTTAAACAAAAAATATAGACAAAACATTCAGCATGTGTTAATACACTTATGCAAGACAACGGAAATAGTCGTTTTAACATTTAAAACTAAAGATTATTCATGCATTTATTATTGCAAACCTGTCTTTTTTTAATCTTTTTCTACGAAAATATTGATTTTTTGCAATGTCCGTTTTGATGTTCAGTTGCGTGTCCATCTGAACTCTTTGAAACCAACAAAAATTAAATTTTATTGATAATTTGGAACAAGAACCCTTAAGTTATTTAGGAAAGGAGATTGATAGTAAAATATATGTTATTTTATGTGTGATAAACACCCTGCTTAATTTTATGCTTTCATATATGCATGATTTTAAATATTTTTTATGCCTGCATTAATGAATTAACTTAACCATTATAGACTCGAGTTTATATACTTGTTACGTATTATGGTTACAGGGTCAGTTTTAACTAGTTAATATTATTTATCGGTTACTAAACATCATATATATCTTTTATCATGTTAGGATTCGACCCGTTTATTGAAACACAAAAGGGATTAGCAGAGCTAATGGAAAATGAAGTTGTTCAACAGAATATTAATGGAATTGCTGGACCAAAATTACAGCAGCAAACACCAGCTTCTCATCAGCAACTTCTTGATAACATGCAGCGCGCCCGAATGCCTCCTCCTGGTTTTAATCACATGAATACCTTAGGATTTGAAGGTGCAGCACGAGTACACTCGAGTAAACTTTTTCCTTTTATTAATATGCCGAGCAACTCGGTTGGAAACAACACTACCCAAGGAGAACAACAACATCAAATGCAACTGGCAACTAACTGGAACAATCATTTGGCCACATTGCACCAACATCAAGGACAGCCTATGAGTGACTCCCATTTGCAGCATCAAGTCGCCCAAACTAGCATCCAAAATAAAGGTAATCATGTTATATCAAGACTATATTAAGCAATTCCGATCCCATAAAGTATGTATATTTTTGATCAGCATTAATAGACGAATTGACTTATCCAAATTTCAAATTTTGAATGTAGACCCTTCTTATGCCCGCGCAGTTTTTCGATAATCGATAACTTTCACCTTTTCTATGCAATTGATAAAACTCGATATAGAAATCCTGTGTTTGAGCAAATCTCTGAGGTTTTTTTTAGCTAGAGACACCAAATTTGACAATTAGCTTCTTTAATAGTATATATATATCAAGTATTTTTCATTTTATAGCTATCTTCTTCTTGTTTCTGTGAAATGTCCGTCTTGTTCTTCGTCCATCCGCATAAACGCAATGTTCTACGTAATTAAAGAAACATGAAACTTAAAATGTTTATCAAATATTGTATAATTTTGTTTGGTGCTTTCTTGGAGGTAAAGCAGCGAAATGGTAATTAGACGATTATCCAAATTTGGCAAGTATATTTCTGAAGGTCTTTGGGGATTCAGCCAAATATATCCCAAAGTTTTTAAGTACTGATTGTACTCGATTGCACTATTGCTTGCTTATTGCATTTTTTCCAATTTGTACCCATTAGTGTGTATTTATTATATATATTATTATTATTTACTCTAGTGTAAAATTATCTTTGAATGTTTGAGTAAAAAATCTTAAAAATTTACTTTAAAAATAGGATATAGTAGCAATGACTGGACTGCAATGGATCCAGCTATTTTGTCATTTCGGCAGTATTCATCTTTTCCGCATCAAGCTCAAATGCCACCTCATCAACAACAGCAACAACAAGACCTATTTATGCAACATTTGGCTCAAAATCACCAGCAAAACGGACAAGGTAAAAATTAATATATATTTTGTACTATATATTTAGAGTTTTAACTAATACATTTTGTATTGATAAATAGGTTTCGGTAATCAATCCCAACAAGTGCTTCCGGGTATGAACGTGCCTAATAATATGATCAATGGACAGTCGTCATCTCAGACACAGGTAAACGCCAATGTTCAGGGAATGCTGGAGTTCTTAAAAAACCGCCAATTTGTTTAAAAATTAATGTCTGAATATTATAGATTGGTTTACCTGTACTACTTATAAAATACTTATTGTAATACAAACATAGTGAAAAAATCGAATATAACAAATCGAAAAGCTTTTGTTTTTTTTAATCTAAAATTTGTAAAAGAAATTGTTTTTACTGGGATCCTTACAAACGATGCTGTCAACACCAACTACATAGATCTGGACATGTTCACGACAAAAGGAACTGCGGTGAAAACAATATCAGTACAAGCGGCGGGGCTGATTGAGAGCACTAACCATACAACATATAGATAGTACATTTAGAAGTCAAATTTGTAGCCATTCATTTTTTAAAGTTCTGGTCCAAAGTCGACTTTGTTCGTTCAGTTGTTCAGAGAGCAAGAGATTAAGAAATACTTATGAGAGCGGATGACTTCCAGCCGCAGAAAGTGTAGGCCAACGTAGTGCGTACCTGAAACTCGAACGGAGGAACGTCTAGTTTGACGGCTAAGAACTCCGTCGAGGACATTGTGTTCCGATTGAAGGTCCTGCAAAGGGCAATGGGTGTGGAAGAGGGTCCTGCGCGGCGTGCCTGCGAATGGTCCAGAAGACTGAGAGACCGGGAACTGGTTAAAATAATGTAACGGGGTTTGAATGGATGAGCTGCGCCGGGAGTGCAAAGAGGTGGAGAGGCAAATGGGTCGTAGAGGCAGAGCTGGACATACCCAGCAGTCGCGCTATCCGCAAGGAGCGAAGCCAATGGTAATACCGGCTAGTCTGGTAATACCGGCTAGTCTGGTAATACCGACTAGGCTGGAACTGTAGACAGTTCGATCAGGATCTTCTGTTACAGGTGCGGGAATACTGTCCGGGAAACTCCAGAGGTACCGTAATGATAGCTGAACAGGCGCTTTCCGGGACGGCGTCCACGGAGAAGCAGGGGTGGAATACCTCACAAGGCTTACCATATGACGAACATGTTCGGCCATTCATGTCGGGCCAAAATAAAATTTTTGGTGAGCGCCAGCTGGAAGGGATGACGCTGGCCACCCGACAAGATGTAGAGGCTCGGCCGGAGTTCCGCAGGCACATGCAACCAAAGCGATTGTCCGAACCACAGGAGAAGAGGATCGATTGTAACCTAGCCCCAGCCGTCTTGGGTCCTGAGAAGTTAAGTTCTAAGTTCCATGGAATGCCAATTTGAAAGGCTTCTGGCCGTGTCGATGACGCAATATGAGGAACTCGAAAGTGAGCCGGATATCTGGGAGCTGCCTGGGAGGAAAGGATAGACTTAGTGGGAGACATGCGGGAGTTTTAGCTCTTTGCACATGGAAAATATACAATCAATTTCGTAGAACGGGCCCAACCGTTCAAAGATCGACCCTACCCTTTATTGCCAGCGATGTAGTAAGTAATGCATTATGAAATGTTAAACTGGGGAATAATAGAAGAGTGCAATAACTCATAGAATATTCGCTCCACACTAGTGCGGAACCGGGTATAAACCGTTTCTGCCTCGATGCACGCATGCATAAAAATTTGACACTGAAAGACGCGTATCCGCGTCCCTTTATAGAAGACATCCTAGCCAGGATAAGCCACACCTACTTCATCTCGAGGATACCGCATTTACAGTCCCAGTTAGGCCCTAATACCAATTTCGAGTCATGACATTAGAAGACCTGCTAGTTATTGCCCCAGATTTCCAAACTCATTCAAAGTACCTGCGACGAGTAGTGATTAACGGAGCCAAATCTTCCCTCTGTTTCAAAGCATTGAAATACATGAGCTTTCTTATTGGTGCTGGAATGCTACGAATGGACGGTAGCTTAAAATGTCTGATGTTCATGAAGGACTTAAGCGGAAGACTTGCTCGTTGCAATAACTAAGAAGCTATAACTAAGTGCTAATTTATTGCAGCACTGCTGCCTCTAGAAGGAGAAGAAGAAGGTCTTCTCGGAACGGACTTACCCTATTTTTATTGTTTTGCCTATTCTACCCGTTACTGCTAGCCTCCTAGTCCTAGTCCGCCTCGCTTGAGATTAGCCGTGTATAGGGCTTTCATGCACCTCTGGGCCGGAAAATGCTGTCCTCCAATCTGGCCCCCTCAGCAATAAGTTTAATGGCGATATCGCCTGCTAATTTCTTTGGTTGATTTTTGTTTGACACATTTTTAATTATTTAATATGTCCTTATTATTCGGTTGCGTTTATTTTCAGCTATTTTTTATTATTAATTTTAAAGTTAAAGTTTAAAGTTTTTAATCCTCGGCTTGGCACCATTGATTTTATAAGGGTTTTTCTTCTGGATCGGCACAATTAATTTTATGAAATTTGAATTTTTCTAGTCAAATAATCTTTTGATTTGATACAATTATATTATAAGAATAATTTCGTTTAATTTTTCGTCTCCCATAGGTTTTTATTTTTGTTGTAGTTACTCCGGCAAAATGCGATCACAAATGCGATCACAAAATAACAGCACACATCAAGCCCGCAGATGACCGCAGCCAAAATCGCACCCTCCGCTCCACATCTGGGCAGCAACGTTATCGGTGCTGAATAACCAACTGTCTATGCCATTTATATAAGTTTTTTAAATTTGGATGTGGTTGCTAAGATGCTAATAGAAATGGAACAGAAAAATTGAAACAGTATGTCAATGAAACAAAATATCGGTAAAGTGATATCGATAGTGTGTCATTTGACATATTTGTAGTGTGACTTTTTCAATGAGCTCCTCTCTATGCAAATTATTACAATGCGATATTTTTCATCTCGACCTCAGCTCAAAATCTTTGTTCGTGCATTATATCTTGGAACGGCAAGTAGAAGTATGTTTAAGGCGCAGCATTTAGAAGTATTTTACTTAAAAGAACATCTAAATATGTTTTCACCCTGCTTGTTTACATAGATTCGCCAATTATAAAAAACATCGGGATGTCAGGTGTTCCGCAAAAGTCTTCAGAATCAATGAAAGCAAATTTTGTATATCCCGTTGCCCGTAAGGACTTATCGATTGAAGATAACTTCCATGGCTCAAAGATAAAGGACGTTTACCGTTGGCTTGAGGATCCGGACGCCCCTGAAACCCAAGAATATGTTAATAGTCAAAATAATATAAGCCAACCATTCCTCGAAAGTTGTGAACAGTGGAAAAAAATAAATAATAAGCTTACAAAACTATGGAACTATCCGAAATATGGATGCCCCATGCAATATGGAAAATATTATTATTATTTCATGAATACGGGTCTTCAAAATCAAAGGTAACCTAATGCCTTATCATATTTGATTATGTCTTCTATATGTGCATATTGTCTTATTACAGTGTTATGTATCAGCAAGATTCACTACATGGCGAGAGCAAGGTTTTTCTGGACCCTAACAGCCTGTCTGAGGATGGAACAGTTGCGCTGTCGCAAAAGGCGTTTTCCGAAGATGGTAAATTTATGGCTTATGGGCTAAGTGAAAGTGGATCTGATTGGACTAAGATTCGCATACGAAACACTGAAACCGGTAAGGATTTCGACGAAGTGCTTGAAAAAGTAAAATTTTCGGAAATATCATGGACAAAGGACAATAAGGGATTTTTTTACGGAGTACGTAGACAAGGTCTGCAGAGTTATATGATTAATAATAACTCCTTAATTCAACAGAGATACCCTGATCAAGATGGTAAAACTGATGGTTCAGAGACCAAACAAAATGAAAACCAAAAGCTTTATTATCATCTCGTCGGAGAAAGTCAGGCTAAGGATGTATTAGTCGTTCAGTTTAATGAGGAACCGTCGTGGCGCTTGTATGGATTTTGTATATTACAAATTAATTTTATGAAATTAGCTAACACCCATCCAATTTTCTCTTATCTCTATTTAGTCAATCTGTCGTATCCGACTGTGGCAAATATTTGATACTGGCCATTGTTAAAGACTGTCGTGATAACATAATATACTATGCCGACCTTAAACCCGGGGAGCCAATTAAATCCGAACTGGATGTTAAAATCATTGTTGATAAATTTGAGTCAGACTACGACGTAAGTAGAATATGACGCGTGTCGTATAATTATTATTATTATATAGAAAAAGACGGAAACGATGGGTATACACTTTATAAACCTCAGATTTGTGTGTTCCTTAACACGCATATCATTTTTACCTTTAAATATCTGTTAGTTACATACTTATTTTTGTTTTTGCAGTACGTGACTAATGTGGGGTCAAAGGTGTATTTTCGTACAAACAAGAATGCTCCAAATTATCGTGTCATAATCATCGACTTTGAAAATCCAGCCGAAGAGAATTGGGAGACCCTCATACCGGTAAGAATAATAACTGTCAGCAATACAATATATAGAATATATCTTATTTTCAAGGAACACGAAAAAGATGTGTTGGACTGGGCTAAATGCGTCAATGAAGATAAGCTTATTCTTTGTTATATAAGAGATGTTAAAGTAAGGCCACTTTTATATACCCCGTAAACCGTTGGACAAAGATTTTGTTTATTCTAGACGATTTTGCAAGCTAATTCACTTCAAACGGGAACACTAATACGACAATTTGATTTGGATATTGGTACCATTGTTGGAACCTCTGGAAAAACAAAATATTCGGAAATTTTTTACAATTTCTCGTCATTCCTAAATCCCGGAACAATTTACCACTATGATTTTAAATATCCAGACCAGCCACCAAAAGTCTTTCGGGAAATTAAACTCAATTTGGACGGATTTCGACAGGATAATTACGCCGTTGAGCAAATCTTTTATTCTAGCAAAGATGGCACTAAGGTGCCAATGTTTATAATACAGAAGAAACGAGCTGTTCGTGAGCCCCGACCATGTCTGCTTTACGGTTATGGAGGATTTAATATTAGCATGCTGCCAACATTTGGGCTAACAGGGTGAGTATCTTTATACATATATTGTTATTTGAAACTTTAGGCACAACCGAAAAACAATAGTCTTATGTTTGTAGATACTTTTGATGGCGTTCTGGCTTATCCGAACATTCGTGGTGGTGGCGAGTACGGCGAAAAGTGGCATAATGGCGGACGCTTGCTTAATAAACAAAACGTTTTCGACGACTTTCAATGTGCTGCAGAGTATTTAATTGAAAACAAATTTACCACAAAAGACCGTTTGGCAATACAGGGCGGATCTAACGGCGGTCTTCTGGTTGGTGCATGCATCAATCAACGTCCTGATTTGTTTGGAGCAGCTATTGCACAAGTTGGGTTAGTATTCTATGCTTAAGAACATTGGAATAATTATATTTGAAAATGAATGTGTGAAGTTAAAAGTCTGATCGGCATCAAATACTTTTTAAATTCTATTTACGACCCTATTATTTCTCGTTAACTATAATCAATCATTACTGGCGCAATCCTCGGAGCCCTAGCGCTCCACTGTCCACTTAACAAGTTGTTTCCTCAACTCCTTTGCTCGAAAAGGGTCCACTCTATTTGAACGCTTTTTTCCAAGTCCCGGCTCACTCGCTGTCAAGCCTTACCCTTACTTATAATTAATTCAAATGCTTTGTTATGCTTTTATCTAAGTATTTAAAATACATCTAACAAATATTGTTTGTGCCAACAGCGTAATGGATATGTTGCGGTTTCATAAATTCACTATTGGTCACGCTTGGTGCTCGGACTATGGAAATCCCTCGGACAAGGAACACTTTGATAATCTTTATAAGTTTTCTCCGTTGCACAATATCCATGCACCACAAAATGAATTGAAAGAGTATCCATCCACACTGATTTTGACCGCTGATCACGACGATCGCGTCAGTCCACTGCATTCATTAAAGTTTGCAGCTGCATTGCAGGATGCTGTGCGTAATTCAGAATTTCAGAAAAATCCGTTGCTACTTCGTGTATACAAAAAAGCTGGTCACGGTGCTGGAAAGCCAACATCTAAAAGAATTGAAGAAGCTACCGATATTCTAACATTTATGTATAAAAGTCTTAAAATGGATGTCATCAATTTATAATTTGTAAATATATAGGTAACTATTGTATTTATCTTGCCTTTTAAATTTGTAATCTTATAATGTGACAAATAGTTTGGCACTTTCACAATAGCTTGCATTTACCATGTATATTACAGAATGCATCAAAGTAAAGTCTTTTTGAAACTGATTGGTATTAATATTCATTTTTGTTGTTGGTGGTAGGCTAGAAAATTATTTTAAGTCATCCATGCGGGGATTACACAGGTATAAATAGTAATATTACAATGTTACAACCAGCTTGGCCGAATATTAATTGTCAGTGTTCAACATTGAATACTGAAATATATATTGTGATAGAGGGGGGTGCTCAACATTCACTAGGCCACAAATAAAATAAGCACAGAGCATATTTGTTGACATGCGGCAAAATATACGAAAGACAATAAGAGTACAAAATCGAATGTTTGAAAGTTATAGGACGCATTCAAGGCAGCATTCCAACAGCACCAAATATGCCGCTATAGAGGCCGTACCTATATTTTTGTATACCATCCATCTACTTGGGAGAATCCAAACAAAAAAAAAAAGACTGAGTAATTCTTTAAGGAGTCACAATGTGGGTATTATCTTTAGATTTAATAAAATAACAAATTGGAAGCAGAGCTCTGTGGACATTATTGAAGTATCTGATCAAATTTAACTTCAAGACCGCATTGAGCTTACAGCGAGGTACATTGTGGAAACTCTAACTAACTGAACGGAACACCTCACTTTCTGCAAGAGGAGCTGCGATGGATCATCAGGACAGTGCTAACAATAAAGTATTAAGTTTCGATGGAGACTCAGAAACTTGTGTGAACTAACCAAGTGCTCAATTGTCTCAATGCACTTGAAAAATGGGGATGTGGATCCCTGTTGATTCAGGAGAATAAATTCACCTGATTGGATTTGAGATCCTTTTAACTACGATTGGCGGAAAAACAAAATATCAAATATTGTATGAAGCTCATGTTGAATTTGCTGAGATCAGGCTAAAAGTTGACTTCCCAAACAAGGCTATGATCAACTACCTCAGTAACAGCAATAAATCTAGATGCCATGAAAGTTTTAAGATAAAACCTTATGTATTCAGCTGTGCTGAAAATAAAAAGTGGAAAATATGCCAAGACTAAAAACATTTTATGAAAATATGACTTCCTCCTTGGGTACAGAAAATTTTAGTCATGGCCATGATCTAGCAAATCTCCAATGTCTGACAATTGTAAAATTATAAGAGGATTATAGAAAAGAAAGGAATTAAACAATAAATACTAATATATTAGGTTAATAAATAATATTAATTATGTAGATACACAATGATAAAACAAATAGAAAGAAAATTAGGACCGAATTTATATGCAAACAGCTGTTTAAAATAAAAACCAAAAAACATTGAAAAATATATATTACTTTTATTTAGTCTTATTACTTTATTTACTGTAAACTGTTGAAAAAAAATTGTCTTGTATTTTATATTTTCAGTGCTTTCAAACTTTATCTTTAGCAGCTGATCCTGAATCAGCTTGTATATAAAATCAGCTTGAAAATAAAATATACTTGATTTGTATAAACCATTCTAGAAGCTAAACGTCATCGTTAAATTCATCCATCATTCTACAAATTGGGGGACTAGGTTCTTTACCTTTGTCCACTCAACCTTTAAACACTTTTGTGAAACTCGTCTCACATGAATTTTTAAAAAGAACTTTAATGGCAAGCAAAATTAACAATAATATTTGTTTTTTTTTTATTAATATTTAAATTAAATTCTTCGCCATGGTTTTCATTTAAAACACATTTACGAACCTATTTTAACAAATTCTGCTTTATAGCTCCTACAGATGCGCGGGATATATGTTTTATTATATAGAGTATAGAATGTTACCTGCGATTCTTCGGCCTGATTGTTCCTATATGAGATACAGATGTGAGATAGTTATCCACTGTTGAGATTTTGAAATGTTATTTGCCAAAAAAAGCTGGTAGAAGCTGATTTCCGTTAACATATTTGCGAAAAACGAAAAGGATGTTTGCAAATTATTGTTGCACAGATCGTGTTATCTTGAAATGCCACAACGTAATTACTTTTGAACATTTAATATTGATATTTATTTGATAAGTAACTAATGTAATGTTGTGTGAGACCTTTGAAGCTCAGTCGAATTGGACTGAGTAGTTGAAATATTTGTTAGTCCTTGTCCAGTTGCTATTATTGTCTCCATTCGTTGGGTAGTGTCGCGCATCACCCCACTGAAATCGGGCAAATCTGGAAGCTCTAATGCGAGATGCGCTGAAAATCTTTTATACACCGAATTTTTGATGCTTTCCTTCTTAGTTTTCTTCCTACTTTCTTCATATTTTAGTTGTTGTTTAAGAAAGATGGAAGTCTTCAGAATTTCTTGTATATTATAAAAAGTATTTTCAGATTTCTCTATCGATTTGAGTGCTTGCACACCATATTCCATGTCGAAGCAATGTCCTTGTAGGTTGCTTTGTAAGCTGAGAACTTCGGCTCGTTTCTCTAGAATAGCAGGCAGAACCTTACGAATGTGTTCCTTGAATATATATTGAATACATTAATATATTTTTTTTATTATAATAAAATTAGGAAAGCAAACCTGAATTCGAAAGAAAGCTAATGATGGGTCATTGGCGAATATATGTACATTTTCAGACAGTTTTTCTGAAGCTAGAGAATAGGAAGAATATATATGATGGATGCTATTGACATTTAAATAAATACAATTACTTTTCTTTGCCTTGAAGTTAAGATCACTGCCTGGTTCCATCTTTTTCTGTTTTCGCATTCGTACAAGAATATGTTGTCAAATTTACAAATGTGTTCGCAGTGTTTTCCTTGGTTACAAATCTATACTCATACATACACATACACATGCATCTCACGATTCCGAGGTAGGTAAAAGACTTTTTATTGAAATCTCGATTCTACCACTCTTATATGTTGATATTGCGAAATTGTAAGTAACTCTATTTTAATGGCAGATTTTGATACACTTGAAATTTCAGTTCCCATATATTACAATGTACATAAGTATATTCATGATCAGTATCAAGTTTCTATATCAAGTAGTTTTAAAACTACCGTTACGAAACTTTTTGTAGGTCCATCTAAGCATTACTTGCTTGCCCGTGCACTTAAAAATGACCAAAATCACACAAAGCAACAGAGCCCGTTTCTAAATAATGTTGTCAATACATATTAGGGATGAGCGATATTTACACACTCGTTATGAGCAAGAAATATTAATATATTGAATGGGATATCGATACTGAGAGTCGATATATCGATAGGGGCCCAAATTTTACTTAGGATGTTCAAACCAACAAACGTTCATACAACCGTTTTTCGCTTATTTACCACTGTTGCGGGCGAAATTTCCCAAATCGCTGAAACACGTATTCATTAAGTTCTTATGTAGAGCTTTGAAAATAAGTTTGAAGCAAATCGGAAACAACTTAAAACTTCACCGAAAAGATTTTAGAATTTCACTTTCCACCGAGGAAGCTTTGATTTTGCGAAAAATGTGAAACAAGTCTCAAATGATGTTTCATATAGATCGTTGGAGGTCACCCACCAAATCTATGATCCCCATTTCCAACAAGGAGTAATGCATTTTTCGAAAAGTGTGAAACACCCCTCAAATGAATTTGAACAAAAAGCTTTGAAAATGAGTTTGTGGCCGATCGGATGGGCAAAAATTGTTCTACATATGCGGGTGGAATTTCCCGAAACCCCGTCTTAACTTGCACCTTCATCACATAAGGTAACTACAGTGGACATATCAGCTTCCTAGCTCTCAGTTTAATATATAGAGATATATAAATAGTAGTGTTGGGAAACTCTTATTCGATTTTGTAAATATTATTTTAAATGGAATATTCATACCACTTAAGAATATAGATTTCTGTTCCTTTTCACTGTGCCGAAAGAAAATGTTTGTATGTTTCACATTGATTATTTTTTAGTTCAAAATCATTCGATAAAATTCTTTAAGCAACCTTGTTTTTAAAGTGCTTCACTTCCTGTCCGTACCACGTTTGTCGGGTTCTTTCCTATCGTACGTTTGCCAGACTAAGGTGGGTAAATTTTCGAAGATTTATTTTAACGTATTAATATTAAGTGATTGCAATATTTTTATGAAGAAAGAGAAAGCAATTATTAGAATATAGCTTGAAATTAAATATTTGTTCATGAATCATGGTATAAATGTAAACGTTTATACAAAATACACGGAAGAAAAAACGCACATTTATAGTCATGTACATTGTACATGAGTATAATTTGTTTCATGTAGTGTGAGCGGGTAAAGTGCCAAAGATAAACTGTTTTTACCATGTGCATATGATGTACATACGCATGTGTATTTTTCAAATGATTGTTCATATTCGTATATAAATTGTGGTTAATCAAGGTAAGTAAGGTGTGGACAATATGTCACTTGTGGATTATCAAGAAATACATATGTGTGTATGTAATGCATAACACATATTGTATGTATATAGTTGCATATATGATCTAAGATCTTCATCGGAGAATTCACAGTGCCATATTTTCCCAATTGTATTAACTTAATAATACATTTTGCGTTGCAGGTCTGCGGAAGGAACGTACATCAAAATGCCGCAAAATGAGTATATGGATCGCCATCGGAAGTTGTTCGGTCGACGGCTCGACTATGAAGAACGCAAGCGCAAAAAGGAAGCGCGACTTCCAAAGGAACGTGCCCGTAAAGCGCAAAAGTTGCGGGGCATTAAAGCAAAATTGTTTAACAAGGAGCGCCGCAATGAAAAGATACAAATAAAGAAGAAGATTCAAGCCCACGAAGAGAAAAAGGTCAAGAAACAGGAAGAAAAGGTTGAGGATGGAGCCTTACCGCATTATCTGCTTGACAGAGGCATCCAGTCAACTGCAAAGGTTCTATCAAATATGATAAAACAGAAACGGAAAGAGAAGGCTGGCAAATGGGATGTGCCTATACCAAAAGTGCGTGCTCAATCCGATGCAGAAGTGTTCAAGGTTCTGAAAACTGGAAAGACCAAACGGAAGGCGTGGAAGCGAATGGTAACAAAAGTAACCTTTGTTGGTGAAAACTTCACGCGAAAACCGCCGAAATTTGAGCGGTTCATTCGGCCGATGGCATTGCGCATGAAAAAGGCGCATGTTACACATCCAGAATTAAAAGCAACTTTCCACTTGCCAATCATTGGTGTTAAGAAAAACCCCAGCTCCCCAATGTTTACCTCTTTGGGTGTGATGACCAAGGGTACGGTTATAGAAGTAAATATCTCTGAATTGGGATTGGTAACGCAAACTGGCAAAGTTGTTTGGGGTAAATATGCGCAGGTTACAAACAATCCAGAAAACGATGGAGTTGTGAATGCCGTATTACTTGTATGATTATATGTAAGATGACTCTTATTTGTATCTTGGTTCATTTAATAAAAATAAATAATACAAATAATACACAAAAGACCTTTCTTTTTATATATTTATCTATATTCAATTAGTTGTTTATTATTAAGACCTATCATTAGTTTTTATTTATATTTTTGTGATATTAAATCAACTCGGTTTCTTTTGCAGTTGGCCCCGGGAGTGTACGATGCAAATTTTTGTAAAAACCCTCACGGGTAAGACCATCACTCTTGAGGTCGAACCGTCGGATACCATCGAGAATGTAAAAGCCAAGATCCAGGACAAAGAAGGAATTCCTCCAGATCAGCAGCGTTTAATTTTTGCTGGCAAGCAGTTGGAAGATGGTCGCACCCTTTCTGACTACAATATCCAGAAAGAGTCCACTTTGCATTTGGTGCTTCGCCTGCGTGGTGGCGCCAAGAAGCGCAAGAAGAAGAATTACTCTACTCCCAAGAAAATTAAGCACAAGAGGAAGAAGGTCAAGCTAGCTGTCCTCAAGTACTACAAGGTATATCTTCAATAACCAACAGATTAACAATACGATCTGTTCTTGGAATTCTTGAGTCTTGGTCTTGAGCTTGAGGCTTTTAAGTCTTTCATCTAGCCAACATAATTATTTTTGAAGCCGTTCACAAAGTAAATGGAGTATGTAACTTTTGTGTCATGTCAGCTGACGCAGTTATTACGCTGCCATTAAGCTAGAGTTATTCATTTGTGGATGTGATACATTTTGTTGTCACGCCACGCTAAATACGAAGTTTTAAAGCTGTTTGCTAAATTTGTCAGGTAGATTTGTGAAATCGCGGGCACGATTTATGTACCATTTCGAAAGGTAGGTCTGTTATGACCCAACTTGCTGAAGTTACACCCACACAAAATAATCGGAGACATTGGAAATAGAGTATTACGCGGTCAGGTGCACAACACTAAAATTCTTGTTTTGTATTGCAGGTTGACGAGAACGGTAAGATCCATCGTTTGAGACGCGAGTGCCCTGGTGAGAATTGTGGTGCTGGAGTCTTCATGGCTGCTCACGAGGATCGTCATTACTGTGGCAAATGTAACTTGACTTTTGTGTTTAGTAAGCCAGAAGAAAAGTAAGTGCCGGCGCTTTAGATCAGGCATTTATTTCTACTGTAATTAAATGAAATAAATATGAAGTAAAATAAGCCTGAAACCTTGTGTTGTGATTTTAAACTTATTTCTCTGCTTGCATTGAAATTGATTGAGCGTTAAATTGTTAAAACAATGAAACAAACTTATTTAACACTTGTTGCTACCAGATCTATGTTCGATGCGATAATCATAGTTTTCCAACTCGAGTGACCAACGGATTGCTCCGTGGATTAATGTGCTCCAACACTTTAAACAGGCTCCCTCTGGCCTGCAGCCTAAGCTTGCTCTGTGTCTTAGTTGGCGAAAGTTGAAACACCTGATCTCTGCGGCTGGTTGATTTGATGCCGCTTTTCGCTTGGCCACTTGCTCCATCAGCTCTGCCTGCCAATTCTTGCGGCTTCTGACGAATCTGGTCGAAAATGAGCAGCTTTTCGCGCAACTCGTCCAGTGAAGTACAATATGGCATAGACACAGCTGCTCCTGTCTTACCTGCAACCCGTTGACAATAAATTGTATGATGTCGCGCATAGTCAAGTCAGCTTGAAGTACGCTTCAAAGTACTGCAACGCAGTCTCATCTTTGGCAATTTATCATAACTCAAGATGTTATCCCACATCGCACGGATTAACTCCTCTTTCAGATCATTCCAGTTTAATATCCCAGCGTTAAACATGTAGAATTGTGCTGACGCAGATAGCAGACGCTTGGCATAAAAGACTTCGATATCATCCAAGCTGAGTACAACTTTCGACCATAGCAGATCAGAGACCAAGCGGGAATTGGAACAGCTTTAATTACCGGCAATTGTTAGGACAGTCAGTCTGATGAAAATGATAGCTTCAAAACACCGAAAGCTGCGCGGACAGCTTCAAAAAATAGTTCACTAAACCAAGATATACTGATGTCAGCATCACGGGGATCGTACACAAAATATTAGGCGCAATTCGATATTTAACTTAAAATTAAAGTAATACATGTGTTCGTTTCTTTTCTAATTTATTAAAATGCTCATATGTTTTATATTTCAAATTGTTTTACAATTATTTTTATACATTGGAAAGCAGTTTCTTGATTTCGTCATTTTCTGCTACTGCGGCATAACTCTCACCATTTGGAGTGGCTCCATTTTTATCTGCACCCTATAAAATAAATGTAATATTTTTTTATATTTCCATAGATTCTGTTATTAAGTATACTTTTTCCAATAGATACTCCACGCATTTAGTATGTCCTTCCCACACGGCCGCCAAAAGTGGAGTGATACCATGTTTGTCTTTTCTCTATTAAAAATACAGATACAGGTGTTTAATAATACTCGAATCGATAATATTGGCCTAATCCTCAGCTTCAATAAAATTGCACACAACATATGTAAAATTTACTACACAATATCACTTGTCTCTGCTCCTCAGACTATATATACTGTTTCACAACTTTATCCACCGAAAATGGGTAAAAAGGTTCACTGAGATATATTCTCATAGGTATTAGTGACAACGAAAACTACAAGCTGGAATAATTATGTGATCAGATTTGAATGCCAGATTAATCTAGAGGGAAAACTTTATACAAAAAGCCAAGCCTCATGAAAATCTGACGAGTTTTGACCGAGTTATGGGGGTGGGAAATTTCGACCTATTTCTATATACGAATCTTAGGGGTAAGATTTTGA